TGTCGATGTTGTACAGTTCCAAGCATTCCAGGATCCATGTGTGAGGCATTGAGTCATAGGCTTTCTTGTAGTCAATCCAGGCAGTGCACAGGTTGGTATGCCTAGTCTTGCAGTCTCGAGTGACTACTTTATCAACCAGTAGCTGGTGCTTTGCTCCTCTGGTGTTACTACCATTTCCTTTCTGGGCGCTGCTAATGTATTTAGCCATGTGCCTGCTCATCTTAGCTGCTATGATGCCTGACAGGACCTTCCATGTTGTGCAGAGGCAGGTTATTGGGTGGTAGTGGGATGGTACTGCTCTTTTCTGAGGGTCCTTCAGGATCAGGACTGTCCGGCCTTCAGTTAACCACTCAGGGTGGGTTCCATCCATTAGTAGCTGGTTCATTTGTCCCGCCAGGTGCTCATGGAGTGAAGTTAGCTTCTTTAACCAGTAGGTGTGGATCATGCCAGGGCCTGGTGCTGTCCAGCTCTTCATACTTGAGACCCTCTCTTGAATGTCTGCCATTGTGATGATTACTGGGTTTTGTGCAGGGAGGTTGCTGTGGTCTGCTCTCAGCTTAAGAGCCATTGGGCATTGTTATATGATGCCTCCTTCTCCCATATGCTCTTCCAGAACTGTTCAGTTTCCAGCCTTGGTGGGTCTGCTCTCATGTTATTAGCCTGCCACTGAGAGTACAAAAAATGGATGGCTCAGTGGAGAACATTTGGTTTATTCTCCTGGCTTCAACTTCTCTGGTGTACCTCTTCAGCCGTGTGGCCAGGGCTGTGAGCCTTTGCTTAGCAGTCTCCAAGGCCTCAGGTATGGACAGTGAGTTGTACTTCTTAGGTACCCCTTTCTTCATCATGCCTTTCTGCAATTCCGATAGCTGGCTAACTTCTCTCCGTGCTGCCTTGATCTTGGTCTCCAACCTCCTTCTCCATGGAGGATACTGCTCCTTATGGCCTTAGTTGAACTTATAGCCAAGCATCTCAAGGATGACGGTTGCTGTGGTGTATATGAGCTTGTTGGTCTCAGTGATGGTCATAGCAGGGATTGTTTTTAGTGCTGCATTCACATCCTGTAGTAGACTTTCAGAAGACACTTCACTTAGTCTTGGTAACCGGCCACTGGAGTTCCAGGGATCCATCTTGCTCATGATCTTCAATCTCAGGTTAACAGCTCTTGAATCAAGCTCATCTGGGCATTTTATTGGGGCTTGGTACCCAATCTCTAATTGTGGGGGTGATGATATCATCCCCCCGATCTGTCGTCCTGGCTCCCCCTTGCTGGAGCATTCGTGTTATAGCTCCTCAATCTGTAGTTGTGATTGCAGGTGCTTCTTGCGGATGTTGGAGCACTGAGCTACTAGTTGTTTCGATGTAGGTGTAGATGTTGTTTTGAAGTATCCACAGGTCCCACATGCTCTGTAAGTAACCCCTCTTGCTGGGGTTACTTGTATAGTAGCATTCCAATAGTTCCCTGTTCTCCTCTCTTGTCCATGAATGTCTTGTTCCAGTAGCCCACTTCTCATCAGGTTGCCCTGGTTCCCCAACACCTGACGAGGACCTTGTTGACCCGGGCAACATCCGAGCCGGTGTGACTCCTATTTCTCCAACTCTCATTACGGATGAGGTAGGCAGGTGGCATTAAGGGCCTTGCCTAAGGACCCAGGCAGGATTTTGACCGTGCCCTGACCGGAGTTCGAACCCCTGACCCTCTGTACCGAAGTCAGTGGTGTTACTATAGGGAGGATGGATGATAGGCTAACAAATTTTTATTTATTTATTGTTTTTGAATGGCACATGATCTACCAACGCTACTTTTGCGATCGACCTATTGGGCACCCCTGATGTATGTAATAGCCACGCCATGTTAAGACAACTGGACGCTAGACTCCAAGATGGCATTTATTCACGCCAGTGAAAGTTGCTCTGTCAAAATCAACCAAAAATTTTCTCTTCTCTGAGAAAATGAGAGCACTAGGTTTTGGAGATGAAAAATTATTTAATGTATTCTTATCCCCGATAACTGCACATGGTATGTTGGAAATGTTTTCTTTTTATGCCTCCGCACCAGCGATAGCCATGGCTGGAGGCATTATGTTTTCCGTTCTTGTGAGTGCAATATCTCGGAAATGCTTTCTGAATTTCTTCAAGTTTGGTACAAATGTCCTCTTGGATTGAAGGATGAACTGACTAGATTTGGTTTGGTGCTCAGAGGTCAAGATCATCATGACCTCAGACATCTGGGTCTCATTCAAGAGAAAGTTTTCACAAATTTGAAAGTGGGTGTCACTGTCTGTTGAGGGTTTTTCTAGAATGTCTAAAACCCTTTCACAGCATTTAGAAGTGGGAAAAATTGAGAAAATGTCACTCTGCACTGTAATGTCTCCCTTAACTGTCGAATCACACGGTAACTTCAGTGTCGTACAGCTTCTCTGACTCAACCAGTAGCTTTCAGACCATCTCTTTCACTCTACTGGTATTTTTCCACTCCAGGCAGGCCTAGAGTTCATTAGCCCCATTCCACACAGTGTCACCCACCAGTACTGTGTGGGAGACAGTCCCGGAAGATCCCACAGAAAGTCTCTGATAAGCAGCGGTGCACTGCTGATGTTGGTTACAGCTAAGATTAACTATAACCTACCTGTAGCTAATATGAGCACTTGCAGTCATGGATCTCAGCCAGTGTGCATTGCACATATTTATGTTTTATCAGGCTGGGAGGGTCAAACACCAACAACATACTATTGGTTGCATTGTGTTTTTTGGTGCTTGAACAATACAAGACCATAAAAGTTTGGGTATGGCTACTGCATCAGTGTGAGCAGCCCAAATCATTTGATTTAGTATTAATATATCGGTTGGTCTGAATGTTTCTGTTTACCTTTGTTTTCTAGCTGCACAAGCGGACAATCCACACTGTATATATAACTAAGCCCTTAAAAAAGGATGTTTTCAAGTTGTTGCTGAAAATCCTGGCTCCATCAAAGTCTCACGCTGCCTCATTCAAGGTGACTGAAACAGCACATAACCTACTGTACGCTGAATCTGTTTTGAATTTGACTTCAGTGAGTAACTCTGATTTCATCTTTTGCAGAGAGTTTTTCTGAAAGGAATCCCAGAGCTTTCCAACTACATTGACAAAAGCCAACTAACAACATCTCTGGGTGGCTACTTTATTTACTCTCACCAGAGCTGGGTAGCCTTCATTAAGGTAACTTGTATTTGGATAATATAATCTGTCAATAGTTTTGCTTTTTCCTACCTCCAAGAAAACCATTGTCTTAACAGAGACATAGCTGTGTGTAAGAGATATGGTATCTCATAATTTTATTGTGGGCAGCATAGTGGTTAGCGGTTTCCTCACAGCAAGAACGTTCCTGGTTCAAGCCCAGTGCCTTTCTGTGTGGAGTTTGTTCTCTCTGTACCTGCGTGGGTTCTCTCCAGCTTCCTCACACAGTCCAAAGACATGCAGCTTACGTTGATTAGTGACTCTAAATTGCCCATAGGAGTGTGTGTGTGTGTGTGTGTGTGTGTGTGTGTGTGTGTGTGTGTGTGTGTGTGTGTGTGTGTGTGTGGTTGTTTGTCTATGTGCCATGCCTGTGTTTAGACTGGTGACCTGTCCAGGATGTACCTACTTCCTGCCCAGTGTCAGCTTGGAAACGCCCCAGCCCCTATTCAGGAATAAGCGGTATAGATAATGGATGGATAATTTTGTTGTGGAGTAAGTTCAGTAACATAAAAATGTTAAACTTTCTACAGGTTTGGGCTGCTGGCTGATTAAAACTCTTAAGGTGACAGTACAATATTTAGGTTATAGTAAAATGTTTAGCCTTTGCTTCCACAATTTTGACCCTTGTTAGCTGGCTACGCTACTTAACAGTCACTGTTTACCTTAAAAATCTGTTTAAAAACAGTGATTTTTAAGTTGTGTTCCCTTAATGTAGGGCGTAATACTAGATTTGCTACTGTACTGGTGATGGCTGACCAGATTCTATGATTAGCTAACAGGCTTGTGTTAAATCACTACAGGGGTAGCATTATTAGGCCCCAGTCAAAACAGCTCAAATTTTACATGGACAGTTTACAAATCCCAAGCTATAAGATGGCAAAGGGTCATATACTTGTATAGCGTTTTTTTTTATGCATTGCAGCACACTCAAAGCACTTTCACGCTATTTGGCCATTCACGCATTCTGCTCACGCATTCATGCACCGGTGTCATCACCAGGAGCAACTTGGGCATTCAGTGTCTTGTTCAAGGATGCTTCAAAATGGACTGGACAAGCTGGGAATCAAACCGCTAATCCTCCGGTTAGGAGATGACCCACTCTAACTCCTGAACTTACAGCATCTTCTGTTAATAAATCAGAGCAGTTTTCAGTCCATAATGAACTTGAATCATCACTGGAATGAAGTGTGTGTGTGTGTGTGTGTGTGTGTGTGTGTGTGTGTGTGTGTGTAAACTTGACAGTGAAAAGTTGCAAAAGCTGGTCTTATGATGGTAGCAAATTAAATGACTGGCTCTGTGCTGCTCCCTGCAGGAGATTGATGCTTTTGTCCTTGAGTTCCTGTCCGTGGTCCAGCAACTGCCCTCATTTATCTCTGCCTTGCAAGCTCTGTCCAGGCTGCCCCTTCCCGCCACTTTCATTGAACTCCATCACTTCTCCTCCACCAACAAGGCCAAGTTCCAGCAGCTTAGGAGGTCAGGGTCACATCTGATCTCTTTCTAGACCGATTTTGGTTTGCTAAATGGTCTGACTGATAACTACCCCATCTGTAAAGTAACCTGTATCTGTATTTTTATGTTCTGGTGTGCAGAGAGCTGGGATTGGATGAGCTATTGAGACATTGTGAGAGCATGGTCCAGAAACTGCGTCATCCTGAGATGGAGCCATGCTACCAGGCAATGGCTGGGACTGCCCTCTTCACCCACACTGCCTTTGACATGCTTCAGAACCACAGCAGGTATTGGTCTTAGCTAAGTCGGTCACAGAACCCAGTATTGCTCTCAGGCCAGACCTTAATCCACTGTGGTGACACTTCCAATGCATGCCATGCAACTGATCAACTACATCCTGGTATGGCAGCATCCCGTTGAAGATGCAGGATCTTGAAGCCATGATCCCAAAAGCATTTCCTGTTGCCAATCTGGCCTGTACCTGATGGTATTGGTGGATGCATTTCTCCTTGTTGATATGTGAACCTGATGAAGAGAGGCATACAATATGTATGCGTTAAGATAGAAAAATACTAAACAATATATACACTGGAGATCAAAATTAGAGAATAGTTTATGAACACTTTTTTTTTTTTTTTCTTTTTTCTAGAAATAATGTACTCTTCATTGCTCAACATTTGAAGGAATTCTTGCTGTGGCTATACCATGCTACTAGAACAGTGTTTTACAAAATAACCATGCACTTTAAAAAAAAACAAAAAACTTTATTTTGCCCAAAACACGATCAAAATTAGAGAACAGCAATTACTGTTGCACAGACAAAGATCACAATATTTTCTGAAGGTTAACAGTCAGTTAGTAGGAAGTGTACAGCACATCTGCGGCCACAGTACATCACTAGTCTCACACTGCTCTGGTGTGATTTTGGTCCACTCTTCTTCCAGTCTCTTCCACAGTTTGGTGATATTAGTAGGTTTCTTGGCCATGACTTTGTTGCCAGAGATTTTCCAGAGGTTTTCTATTGGGTTTAGTTCAGGACTCTGGGCTGGCTACTTCATTATTTCAATGTTTTCAGTTGTGAGGAACTGCTTTACCTGTTTGACTTTGTAAAAGGGAGCATAGTCCTGCATGAAAATTGCTGGGTGATTGGGTGATGAATGCAGGGGAGGAACTGCTTGTTGTCGAAGGAAGGTTCTGATAAATATTTGCATTCACTCTGTCATGTAACTGTACAAGAGGCTGAACGCCTGCTGCAGAAAACATTTCCCAAACCATGACACTTCCTTCTCCACCTTTCACTGTCTTTACTCACTTTGGGTTCAGTCTTTCCCCAGTTTCATGACGAACGTAATGTTTCCCATCAGACCCAAATAAATTTAAACTTGCTTTCATCACTAAAGTGAACTTTGGACCAGTTCTCCTCTGTCACTGCACAGCATTCAGATATACAGAAAAAAGAAAAGTTTTCAGTCTGCTGCTATTGATGATGGGCGTGATCCTCCCAAAATGGCACATTTACCCAAAATTCAACACGGCGTGACACACATTCACATTCTGTTTATTAAAAGTGCACCTTGCATGTCATATAGTGAATATTTAGACTGGTGGAGTAGTAATAAGCCTTTTGAGAGTGAAGTAATGAGAAATAGATTTAGTTTCCTTGTCCGACACTTATGATGGACATTCATGTGAGCTGGAAGAAGTTGTGCTTTCAACCATGATCAAAGCAGTGATGACATTTTTCTGCAGGCTAATAGTAGGTCACAAATATGGCCCTACAATTACATTGGCAGCGGGTTTGTTGGCTGTTCATTTGAACTTTGTCAGGGAATTGAGCCGTGCCCTGCAATGCATAAACAAGTTCTCTTGTAGGACATTTCAAGTGCTCTTGGCGGCCCTGTGGTGGCCACAGGGGGTCCTAAGAAGACGCTTAATTCGCTTGTGGCTCGGGGTTTTTTTTTTTTTTTTTTTTTTTTTTTTTTTTTTTTTTTTTTTTGGGGGTGTCTCTTCCCCCCACCTCTGGCCCTCAAAGTTGTGTGTTATGTAGGAATGAGGCCACACCCCCTTATCGTTGCTCCTTAGTTGCATTTTTAATTATGCTGGGAGAACAGACATAGAATGAAGGGGTTTCATTACCCATTGTTTTCTTTACAACTCTAGAATCAGTAGTCACTTTTTCGAACGTGGTTTAAAAAAAAAAAAAAGAAAAAAGAATTTGAACTGTGATGACCTGTTCAAATGCAACAATGTATGATATGTCTAAGCACAGCAGGCAATTTGATGAAATTTGCCTCATGGTCAAACAGAGGGTGTTCTTAAAATTTACAATCAGTTTGAGCAGTTACATGTCCTGTTGACCTCTGAATAAAGTAAACTGAAGGAAATTTGATTACATCCAGGTATTTACTTGCTTTAAGATTTGACAGTGTGATTCACAGGGACCATAGTCACTTTCTAACATAGACAAGTAAATCTCAGTGCCTGCATAACTGATGGGCAACAGTATTGTCATATACTGCATGTATAGTATGTTTTAACGAATATGAACTGATGATGCTAATTAAAGCTTTTACATTTTACAGGATCACTGCAGCTGTGGAAAAGGTGGAGATGCTGTTGCAACAGGCCTTTTCTAAAGCTAATTTGCAGCTGCAAGTGTTCCAGCTACAAGAGGATGCACTGTTGGTGAGTCAGCTGACAGCATTTTCAGTTTGGTGTGTTACCTACCTTGTTTGGTTTACTTTATAGACAAACTGTGGTGCATTTGCCTTTTCAATATGGTTAATCTACACTAGTGTGGAAGATGTTAGTCAAACCTCTGAGTAAACTAAACAAGACCACCTAAAAATGATGGTCACAGGCTGCTTTCAGCATAGATTTTGGTGGTGTCTTTGCTGCTTGAAAGGAAAATGGACTAATCACATTACCATTATGAGATTGTAGATTTGTGATTTTTTTTTTTTTTTTTTAGCATGGACAGTGAGGAGAAAAACTCAGAGCATCATGGGAAGACCCTCAGCAGTCTAGGTCTATAGCAACATAACTAGAAGAAGACTTGGGGTCACCTGATCCAGCCCTAACTATAAGCTTTATCAAAAAGGAACGTCTTAAGTCTAATCTTAAAGGTAGAGAGGGTGTCCGCCTCCCGAACTGAGACTAGGAGCTGGTTCCATAGGAGAGGAGCTTGACAGCTAAAGGCTCTGCCTCCCATTCTGCTTCTGTGGATTTTGGGAACCATTAGTAGACCTGCACTCTGAGAGCGAAGTGCTCTGTTAGGATAAGGCTCTATGAGGTCTCTATACATTGAAGCCTTGTCATTAAGGGCTTTGTATGATTTTAAAATCGATTCTGGATTTTATAGGGAGCCAGTGGAGAGAAGCTAATATAGGAGAAGTATGATCTCTCTTGCTAGTTTCTGTCAGTACTCTGGCTGCAGCATTTTGGATTAACTGGAGGCCTTTTAGGGAACTATTGGGACATCCTGATATTAAAGAGTTGTATTATTTTTGTGGATTCTGTGGAATATTTTACATGCATAGCTCTGAGGGGGGAAATAGACTTTAAAGCATAGGCTTTAGGTCACAACTAAAGTAGGAGTGATATGCCAGCCCACACACAGGCAGTGTAGGGAGTTGTACTGATTAATATAGCAGCTTATTGGTTATGTGACATGCGACTCTCAAAAACAGGGCTGAGTTTGCTCAAATACGAGACTTTAGTTCTATATGGATTGGCTTTATTCTGGCCGATAACTATCTTGTCACAAATGCATGGATTGGTCACAGTACAATATTTAGTATTAGGGATGTAATGATTGTAATTTTGCAATAGAAAAATCTCATCACTCTTGTGGGACTGTGACGGTATCTACCAGAATGTCATGTGATTATTTTGGTAATATACAGTGCCTTGCGAAAGTATTCGGCCCCCTTGAATTTTGCGACCTTTTGCCACATTTCAGGCTTCAAACATAAAGATATAAAACTGTATTTTTTTGTGAAGAATCAACAACAAGTGGGACACAATCATGAAGTGGAATGAAATTTATTGGATATTTCAAACTTTTTTAACAAATAAAAAACTGAAAAATTGGGCGTGCAAAATTATTCAGCCCCCTTAAGTTAATACTTTGTAGCGCCACCTTTTGCTGCGATTACAGCTGTAAGTCGCTTGGGGTATGTCTATCAGTTTTGCACATCGAGAGACTGAAATTTTTGCCCATTCCTCCTTGCAAAACAGCTTGAGCTCAGTGAGGTTGGATGGAGAGCGTTTGTGAACAGCAGTTTTCAGTTCTTTCCACAGATTCTTGATTGGATTCAGGTCTGGACTTTGACTTGGCCATTCTAACACCTGGATATGTTTATTTGTGAACCATTCCATTGTAGATTTTGCTTTATGTTTTGGATCATTGTCTTGTTGGAAGACAAATCTCCGTCCCAGTCTCAGGTCTTTTGCAGACTCCATCAGGTTTCCTTCCAGAATGGTCCTGTATTTGGCTCCATCCATCTTCCCATCAATTTTAACCATCTTCCCTGTCCCTGCTGAAGAAAAGCAGGCCCAAACCATGATGCTGCCACCACCATGTTTGACAGTGGGGATGGTGTGTTCAGGGTGATGAGCTGTGTTGCTTTTACGCCAAACATAACGTTTTGCATTGTTGCCAAAAAGTTTGATTTTGGTTTCATCTGACCAGAGCACCTTCTTCCACATGTTTGGTGTGTCTCCCAGGTGGCTTGTGGCAAACTTTAAACGACACTTTTTATGGATATCTTTAAGAAATGGCTTTCTTCTTGCCACTCTTCCATAAAGGCCAGATTTGTGCAGTATACGACTGATTGTTGTCCTATGGACAGAGTCTCCCACCTCCGCTGTAGATCTCTGCAGTTCATCCAGAGTGATCATGGGCCTCTTGGCTGCATCTCTGATCAGTCTTCTCCTTGTATGAGCTGAAAGTTTAGAGGGACGGCCAGGTCTTGGTAGATTTGCAGTGGTCTGATACTCCTTCCATTTCAATATTATCGCTTGCACAGTGCTCCTTGGGATGTTTAAAGCTTGGGAAATCTTTTTGTATCCAAATCTGGCTTTAAACTTCTCCACAACAGTATCTCGGAGCTGCCTGGTGTGTTCCTTGTTCTTCATGATGCTCTCTGCGCTTTAAACGGACCTGTGAGACTGTCACAGTGCAGGTGCATTTATACGGAGACTTGATTCCACACAGGTGGATTCTATTTATCATCATTAGTCATTTAGGTCAACATTGGATCATTCAGAGATCCTCACTGAACTTCTGGAGAGAGTTTGCTGCACTGAAAGTGAAGGGGCTGAATAATTTTGCACGCCCAATTTTTCAGTTTTTTATTTGTTAAAAAAGTTTGAAATATCCAATAAATTTCGTTCCACTTCATGATTGTGTCCCACTTGTTGTTGATTCTTCACAAAAATTTACAGTTTTATATCTTTATGTTTGAAGCCTGAAATGTGGCAAAAGGTCGCAAAGTTCAAGGGGGCCGAATACTTTTGCAAGGCACTGTAACTCCATTAAGCTCTAACTTAGTGCAGGTCCTTTTAATCCCAGTAACATGTTTCAGTTCCCTGTAATAAGATGCTGTGATCATTGGTGTCAAAAGCAGCACTGAGATCTAAGAGGACAAGTTTAGTCAGTCTTTTGTCTGAGGTTAGGAGGAGATTGTTAGGGAGACTGGATATTGTTCTATAATTAGCCAGAACACCTAGGTCAAGAGTAGGTTTTATAAGTAAAGGTTCAATTACAGCACCCATAACTATCAGTTTCATTAAACTGTGGCATGACTTGGACTGCTGAGGCTTGAATGTGCGTTTTTGTTCTTGGAAATACTTGAGAAAATTGAGACTTCACTAGCATTCAAGGGATTTTGCCTAGCACTTCAAAATTAAAATTGAACAGTAGTATAGTCTGGGATCATCATCCTTTACTTGTGAAACCTTTTAGTTTTTCCCCTTAAAAGATGTACAAATTCTCTTCACCCTTAGATTTCATATGGCTTAAACTGGTCATTTTAAACCTTGCTTTGGTTTAGCAAGAGAGAAAGTTTTTGGCTAGTGGCATATTTGAAAAAGGTACATTTAACAGCATTAAGGTATTCTAATGTTGCCACTGTGATTCTCGTGCTTTTCATAAAATCTTCACTGACTTTAACACTGCAGTCCTCCTCTTAAAAGTTTGCTGATGGCCTTATGGCAAGATAAGTAAGAATTATTAAAATGCCAATCTACCTTTTATGAACAGTATGTATTTACTTGTGTTTATAGATCACAGAGCAAATTGAAACACTTCAAGAGAAGCTTCAGCCTTACAAAGTAGAGATTGCCAAGGATGCTGCAGAGGGGGTGAATTTGGTCTCCCAGTTTGAAGCATCCATTCACACTCCTGCTATGGTATTCATTTAGCTGTTCTGTTTCTTTACTTTGTGTGACATGTAGCCTGGTTTCTTTATTTTTTTTTATGTCTTAAATGTAGTCGGTGGTTATCATTGTCATATGGTAAATGGTCTTATACATGTATAGCGCCTTTTTACGCTTTACAGCACACTAAGTGCTTTCACACTACTTGGCCATTCACCCATTCGCACTCCCAAACGCTCACACATTCATACACCGGTGTTATCACCAGGAGCAACTGGGGGCTCGGTGTCTTGCTCAAAGGCACTTCGACATGTTGACTGGAATCCAACTGCTAATCCTCTGGTTAAGAAATGACCCGCTCCCTCCTGAGCCACAGCCGCCCCACATATGTGCTGTGATTTTAATTTAAGTGGTATTGTTCACTTCATTTGTATGTAAATAACCATAAAATGGCCCCTCTCACTTTCCACTTATTAGGCACTTGTTCGCTGTGCTGAAGATTTGATCCACACTTTAGCAGAGATCCTGCCGTTTGACGATCAGAGTGGGGAACACTGGGTTCTGGATCTGGAAAGGCTGAAGGAGAAACTCCAGTCTACTGTGCACATCATTGTTCAAACCCTCAGAGCAGTTTCCAACTACCATCACTGCTACAACAAGGTTCTCTGCTGTAGTCTAGAGATCCCCAATCCACTGCAGTGCCTAGTAATGTGAATTTCAATAAACTGTTAATCATTTTTAGGTCAGTTCTCAAAGCACAAGATGGCATTTTAAATTCTATCTTAGAAACTGAATATTTGAGAATTGTGTTTCAAGCTATTAAAAAAAATCAAATGTGCTCATTTACACTGGCCATTTCAGATGTGAACACTATATTTCAACCTTTTTAAAATATTGTTTGCATGTAAGATGTTTTAATTGCCATCTTCTGAGTTAAAGTACCTAAAGCATTTGAAGTATAAGCATTGAACAGAGTTGGTGTCAGTTTGAGTGAAAGCACTAAAATCAGTTCAAAGTGTACAAGGCATCCAAAATTCTTAGTTTCAGGTTCAACCCTTGCCGGCCACATATAGTATATGGCGAGGTGTCTAAGCAATGAAAACACCTGCAATGATGGTTGGCGAGTAAAAGTCAAAGCTCCCCACCCCCACCTACTTCACTGTCTTTGTCCTGTTTGCCTCGCTGCGACTTACTGTGAAATGAAAGCCAAAAAAAAAAAAAAAAAAAAAAAAAAAAAAAAAAAAAAAAAAAAAAACTTTTTCAAATAAAAAGAACAGCAGAAATGGCGTTTGAATTTGTGACCCAATATACTGTTCTGTACGTATATCCTGAACCTGTCTACTCTTCTTACAGGCAAACCACTGGTATAGTCTTGTCCTCTGTGAGAACTTCCTCCAGGAGCTGCTGTCAGGTGTTACAGATCGTGCTCTCCCACAGCAGCAGAGGAGGAACTGGGAATCGATCCCTGCATGGAGGCACAGACTGTCTACTTTCTTGAAGAAGAATCCCCCTCCCAGTATGGAAGAACTGCTGTATCTGGCTCATCTGTCTATTGCCATCCCAGATAAGGAGATTCAGCAGAAGGGCAAGAAGATGTCTCAGCAGTAAGATAAGAAATGATAAAGAGAAATCTATAGTTTCTTTGTATTAGTGTTCCTATTAGTAGTTTCTTACCAATATAGTTGAAGTCAGAGGTTTACATACATCTTAGCCAAATACATTTAAACTCAGTTTTTCACAACTCCTGGTATTTAATCCTCTAAACAGTCCCTGTCTTAGGGTAGTTAGGATTACTATAAGAATGTGAAATGTCATAATAGTAGAGAAAAAGATTTATTTTAGTGGGTGAGAAGTTTACAGACACTTGGTTAGTATTTGGTACATTGTTTAACTTGGGTCTAATGTTTCTGGATGCTTTCCACAAGCTTCTTCCAATAAGTTGGCTAGAGTTTTAGTTCATTCCTCCAGATAGAACAGGTGTAACTGAGTGAGGTTTCACAGTAGGCTTTCACTTCCTGGCTGATGTCTTGAGCTGTTGCTTCAGTATGTGGACCTAATCTTCCTTCCTTATGATGCCAACTGTACTGTGAAGTCCCTCCTGCAGTAAAGCACCCCCACAACATGATCCTGCCACCTTATGCTTCACAGTTGGGATGGTTTTCTTTGACTTGCAAGCCTCTTTCTTTTTCCTCCAGACATAACAGTGGTCATTATGGCCAAACATTTTCAGTTTTTGTTTCATCAGACTAGAGGGCATTTCTCCACAAAGCCCGATCTTTCTCCCCATGTACAGCTGCAAACTGTAGTTGGCCTCTTTTTTTAATAGCAGTCTTGGAGCAGTAGCTTCTTCCTTGCTGAGCAGCCTTTCAGTCAATATAAGACTCATTTTACTATGGATATAGATGCTTTGGTACCTGTTTCCTCCAGTGTCATCACAAGGCCCTTTGCTGTTGCTCTGGGATTGATTTGTACTGTTCAGACCAAAGTACGTTCATCTCTAGGAGACGAAACCTGTCTTCTTCCTGGGCATTATGATGGCTGCGTTGTCCCATGGTGTTTATACTAGCGTGGTATTGTTTGTACAAATGAACATGGAACCTTCAGCTGTTCGTAAATTGCTCCCCCCAAGGATGAACCAGACTTTCGGGGGTCCCCTTTTTTTTTTTTTTCTTTCTTTCCCACGTTTTGGCTGATTTTGTTTGATTTTCCCATTATGTCAAAGGAAGAGGTACTTAAAATACATCCAAAGCTGCATCTCCTATGACTCAGATGATGTCATTTAGCCAATCAGAAGCATCTAAAGCCATGACAACATTTTCTGGAATTTTTCAAGATGTTTAAAGGCACAGTCAATTGAGTATGTAAACTTCTGACCCACTGGAAGTGTGATATAATGAATTAAGTGAAATAATCCATTTGTAAAGACCTGTTGGAAAATTACTTGCCATGCAAAAAGTACTTGTCCTAACCAACTTGTCAAAATGACAGTTTAACATAACAGCTGTAGTGCTGTTTTAAAAAAAAAAAAAAAAAAAAAGGTTTGTTTTCAGCCCAAGTGTATGTAAACGTCTGATTTCAACTGTATGCCCAGCATCTGGGATTTGATGGAGACAATTTAAAATTAAAGTGCATATTACAGGGATCACTGAGTAAATCTGGCCCTGGCTTTTCAGCAGAGATGTGTAATAATATTCAAATAGTTATTAAATTATAAAGAATCGAATATTTTATATGACTATGGTTTTGTTTTTGGCATGTGTTTTACGCCAGATGCCCTTCCTGATGCAATCCTGACTTGAACCCGGGCCGCAGTGGCCTTACCACTATGAAAGGAAAAGAATGTGCTGCTTAATTTTAAGTGCTTATAAGTCAAAAGATTAGGAACCACTATTCTTTCTGCTAAATCTCTTTCACCTAAAGAAATTAATTTTTTTGCTTCATGCTTAAGGGGGATTGTTGGGCTTTTATTTATAACATAGTAAGGTCTAGACCTTGCTATGTAAAGTGCATTGAGTTATTGTGTTTTTGTGATTTGAAGGTATAAAAATGGAGTTTAGGATTAAAAACTTTTTACTTGGTCATTTTGGTTTAAGAGTGTAGATTGATGGGCCATGACAGTAATTTTATCAATTAAAAATGAAATATACAATTCAAAGTGCCCAACAAGCAAAGGGATTGGAATATGTTTATCTCCAAAATCGGACACTCCATCTAGTTATTTTTACCTATAAACTGTCCAATTAACAAAACCAATTTGTCTCAAGGTCCCTTTTTTTTGCTCTTTCTCCTATCTATATGGCGTTTATCAACAGTTTGTCCAGCTGTTGCGGAGATCTGTTGACATGCAAGGTTGTGAGCACTTAATGGCTAATCTGGTTTAAAGTTCTGGAAATGGCTACTTTATTTACTGTCCAAAAACTGTATTGCATATGTGTATACAATTATGTTGCATGACTAAATTGTGTGTGTACAGCAATACACAATTTCTCCAGATTGCCCACTTCTAACATGTTTAGTACATGTGTAGCAGTTGTGGACATGGAATAGTTTGTCTTTGTAGAAACAGATGGACTGTTTGTAGTATGACTAATGGATGCTTTCCTATACACACACCAAGATTTTAGGTTTTTATTCTGCTACAAGGCCAATTTCAGTCTTTTTTTTTTTTTCTCTATCAGGTGCATGATCCTGAGGAAGCTTCTAATTTCTTCAGGACCTGTGGCTGTCAGTCACGTACAGCTGGCCTTACAGTGGCAGTTTGAGTTATTGCGGAGCAGCCATGTGAATCTGCCATCTGGTGACAGCGCTACAAATATAACAACCAAAGATGTTAAAGACGGCCCTTCAGAGTTTGGCCTCACTAGATGTGAAACCGCTAAGGAATCGGGATTTGATGGAACAATGATTAGCCAGCTGAAGGCCGGGGTAGGGAGGGAAGGAGTAGAGGTCTTGGGTAAACCAGACAGAACCAGAGACTCTGGGAGACCTGCCACACCTCAAATCCCCAAAGAGTGTGTTTCAGGTTTTGAGGATGACAGACTGGCATTTGACTTTGGTTCTGTGGAAAACTCATCCAGGGCTAACTTCCAGATCATCCCCAAAGAAACCATGGATTTTCTCAACTTTGAGATCCAAGTAAATCGCTCGGCTGCACTACCCAGTAACCCTTGGCTTAGCTTGCCGATAGACAATCTGGAGCACTCATATACTGTCACCATCACTCAAAATCCAACACCACAGCAGAGAGATGTTGATCTGTATGGTCTGTCAGACCCCCACACTAATGCCAATCGCTCTGACAGATCTCAAGATCAGCCTACACAGACTGAGTTGCTGAGCAGTATACAGAGCAGGGATGGGATACTACATTCACAAAGCAATCTGGAGGATCCTGAACAAAGTTCCATTGGTGACATGCTCTCCAGCGCCATTACAGATGTAACAGAGAAGTCCACCTACACCACAGAAGGGAATCATACTCTTCTCTGGGATTCATATGACCTCCATGATCAGAATCGGAATCCTTTGGATGGGTAATGTTTCTGTCTGACCTCAAATCTCATCAGATATAATGTAATGAGAACACGGGTCAATTTTGCTGAATAGCAGCTATTGTGGTCGAATGAATTTACTTTAATTATTGTTGCTACACCTACCAAGATTTACATTTTTAGTACAACACATGTTTGTAATGATAATAGTGATTAGATTTAATAAAATGCATGTTAATTGAAACTTTTTTTTAAATAATGGAGCTTGACAAAAGCAGGCTTCACTTTTTTTGGTCAGCTGACAGATGTTGCCAGTAGGATTTATGAGCTCTCGCTAGATTGGTAAATAATCATAAAGGCCCTTTACAGCTACTGTTTGGTGCATCCAAGCAGGTGAGTTCACTTACTTTGGCTGATTAAACCTCAGGTTTGTTTGGGAGTGTACAGACTGTTTTTGTCACACTCTTGCTCACTGTGTTGCATCTGTTAGGGTGGTACATATTACATCTTTTAATCATTCTAATTAGGTTGTGAAATCTGACTTCACATAAACCCCTGCATAGTTTGGCTCACCTTCAACCAACAAGAGCACTCAGAGCACATGTACCTCCACCAAGGCATAACATTTGCTCACAGAAATGGGTCACTTGTAGAAAAATGAGATCCAGAACAACACAAAATGTCCTAAAATCCTTGATCTGGAGCATCTTTAGGGTATGATAGGCAGTTGTACTGTGCATCCTACCTGAACATCCCAGGGTTCTATCACCATTATAGGCAAAGTTATGGTAGAATACGTGTCAAATAGGGTTTTCAATGTTGACTTTAAATGGCTGCTGCATCTGTCTGGTCCCCACCAATCTCTGTACCAAGTATGTTGATGATCCATTTAGTCGTTTGTCCATAATCCTGCTAACAAACAAACACATGCGGAACAACATTGGCTAGCATTAGTCACTATACATTACTGGTCACACAAGATCAAATAAGACTGCTTAAGAGCTTATCACCATTCAGACACCTCTGTTGCTCTAGCACAGGGGTGCCCAATACGTCAATCGCAAAAGTAGTGTTGGTAGATCATGTGCTATTTAAAAATAAATTAGATGTATCTGTAAAACACATTCCAAATGTTAACATGCGAATGGTCAGTGTGGCGACCCCTAACAGGAAAAGCAGAAAGTAACAATCATTCATATACAGTGGTGTGAAAAAGTATTTGCCCCCTTACTGATTTCTTATCTTTTTGCATGTTTGTCACACTGTAATGTTTCAGATCATCAAACAAATTTAAATATTAGTCAAAGATAACACAAGTAAACACATCATGCAGTTTTTAAATGAAGGTTTTTATTATTAAGGCAAAACAAAATCCAAAACTACATAGCCCTGTGTGAAGAAATGTTCGCCCCCCTGTCAAAACATAACTTAACTCTGGTTTATTGCACCTGAGTTCAATTTCTCTAGCCACACCCAGGCCTGATTACTGCCACACCTGTTCGCAATCAAGAAATCACTTAAATAGGACCTGCCTGACAAAGTGAAGTAGACCAAAAGATCCTCAAAAGCTAGACATCATGCCGAGATCCAAAGAAATTCAAAACCAAATGAGAAAGAGAATAATTGAGCTCTATCAGTTTGGAAAAGGTTATAAAGCCATTTCTAAAGCTTTGGGACTGCAGCGAACCACAGTGAGAGCCATTATCCACAAATGGCGAAAACATGGAACAGTGGAGAACCTTCCCAGGAGTGGCCAGCCGACCAAAATTACCCCAAGAGCGCAGCGACAACTCATCCAAGAGGTCACAAAAGACCCCACAACAACATCCAAAGAACTGCAGGCCTCACTTGCCTCAGTTAAGCTGAGTGTTCATGACTCCACCATAAGAAAGAGACTGGGCAAAAATGGTTTGCATGGCAGAGTTCAAAGACGAAAACCACTGCTGAGCCAAAAGAACATAAAGGCTCGTCTCAGTTTTGCCAGAAAACATCTTGATGATCCCCAAGACTTTTGGGATAATACTCTGTGGACAGACGAGACAAAAGTTGAACTTTTTGGAAGGTGTGTGTCCCATTATGTGTGGCGTAAAAGTAACACCGCATTTCAGAAAAAGAACATCATACCAACAGTAAAATATGGTGGTGGTAGTGGGATGGTCTGGGGCTGTTTTGCTGCTTCAGGCCCTGGAAGACATGCTGTGATAAGTGGAACCATGAATTCTGCTGTGTACCAAAATATCCTGAAGGAGAATGTCCGGCCATCCGTTTGTGACCTCAAGCTGAAGCGAACTTGGGTTCTGCAGCAGGACAATGATCCAAAGCACACCAGCAAGTCCACTTCTGAATGGCTGAAGAAAAACAAAATGAAGACTTTGGAGTGGCCTAGTCAAAGTCCTGACCTGAATCCAATTGAGATGCTGTGGCATGACCTTAAAAAGGCAGTTCATGCCCGAAAACCCTCCAATGTGGCTGACTTACAACAATTCTGCAAAGATGAGTGGGCCAAAATTCCTCCACAGCGCTGTAAAAGACTCATGGCAAGTTATCGAAAACGCTTGATTGCAGTTGTTGCTGCTAAGGGTGGCCCAACCAGTTATTAGGTTTAGGGGGCAAACACTTATTCACACAGGGCTTTGTAGTTTTGGATTTTGTTTTCCCTTAATAATAAAAACCTTCATTTAAAAACTGCATGATGTGTTTACTTGTGTTATCGTTGACTAATATTTAAATTTGTTTGATGATCTGAAACATTACAGTATGACAAACATGCAAAAAGATAAGAAATCAGTAAGGGGGCAAACACGTTTTAAAGGGTATAAAATGAGTGGGGGAGCTGAATCAAGTAAGAAACTGAAAACATTCCATGCGGAATGGGAGGAGGACTTTTTTTTCGCTTTGTTATATTTGAAATGCGTTTGCTTGATGTACTAATCTACCACCACTATTCCGAAGAAGGGAAATGTGGAGCGGCACTTTCAGACTGTTCATAAAACTACGACACTCATTCATACATATAATTTTTGTGCCCGCGCGTAGGTCGATCATTTTGACTTGGTAATTTGAAAAGTAGCTTGCAAGGCGAAAAAGTGTGGGCACCCCTGCTTTAGCACTTTTTAATGCAGTTTCGTGTGGTGGCTTAGTCATTTGAAACATGGCATTTATTAAGCTGCTGAAGGTGGTAAGATGTTAAATGTACTGGATCTCTGCAGTCACTGTCATCCACCAAACTACAGGAGCTACTACTATGGAAAAATAGAAACGAAAAGAATGTTTTCTGTATGTAAAAGCTGCATACTGGGCTGTTATTTTCAGTAAAACTAACTGTATTCAGGAATAGTTAGAGGTTACAAGGAGTCATTTTCTGTGAATGTCATATTAATGGCTTTTAGAATTTTGAAAATGTATGATTTGGGAGAATGCATGGACTAATAAGAGAAATCACCAAATGCTGTTTTTCTTGCACCCCCCGCCCCCTCTCCCCCACCAGTGTGATTGATATTTCCCTTAAGGACTGGGATATGAAGGAGCAGGAGGGTTTGACAGATGTGAAGAAGATCCTGGACAGGACTAATGAAATATTGGAGGTAAGAGATCCACCATTTGAGTAAGGGGTGAATGATTACAGCTCTGAAGAGTTGCAATTAATGTTCAAGACTCTAACATGTCAATAACACCAGGTGCCCAGCTTGCATCACAGCAACCAAAATGATGGGTTTTAATTTCTAACTTGATCTGATCAGTGCTTGAATAAATGTCTTGCTCTACAGGAGGAAGAAAATATTCTGGCTCAGGAGGCTGTGCTGGAGGCCCTGCTGAGGTCGGAGGACGAGCACAATCCTTGGCCACTGTGCGACAGTGAGGACCACCTTTGTGTGGTACGTAAGTGCAGAGCAAATCAGCAGTGTAAATTATGATGTTGGGAAGCTGCTCCTCAATGATCCTGGGTTTGTTATTGTGTGGAGGCTGACAAGCATCTGTACAATGTTTCCCTGTTCTTTATTGTGTGGAGGCTAAAAAACATCCACACTGTTATCCAATTATTTATTATTACTATTGTGTGGAGGCTGAGTCAGTAGCCACACTATTGTTATCCAATTATTTATTATTGTGTCGATGCAGTAATGCATCCACACTATGTAATCCTGGAATTTATTTATTATTCTGGGTTCTTCCATCCGTTTTTGTGTGGATGCTGAGTAAGCAGCCACACTGTTGTTATCCTGGTCTTTATTATTGTGTGGATGCTGATGCAGCAGCATCCACAGTATGTTATCCTTTTCTTTATTATTCTGGTTTTGGTTCTGGTTCTTTATTATTCCGTTTTTCAGCACCTGATTTCTTCAGCATACTTTCAGCTACATCCAACAGCCATTCAGGTATCAAAATGTTCAGCTTTCTAAGGACATGCTTACTTGTATTTTTCTTGTTTGTAACATTTATACTTTTTTAATAAATTCAGCTTTAAAAAAAAAAAAAAAAAAAAAGTTCCCATTGAAATGAATGGGAAAGTTTTGAAACCCTGGTCCTCTTTGAACAATAATATCTCCAGCATACCTTGGGCTAGAAATGCCATTTCAACTCATGAGAAATTCAGCTACTTATAGTGCAGAAAGCTTCTTGATATCTTTTACGGTTTTTGCATACTCGCCATTTATACTTTGTGTACTTCTCCATTCACAATGAATTGCTCCATTCACTTCAATAGGCACCCTCTGAGTCATGTGACTCCCGCTCTGGCTCCATGTCTGTGTGTTTTTGATCAACTTCCTGCTGGGTTTCTGCTTTTATTCTGCCATCCTTAAGCTTTCACACACATATAATACATGAAAATGGTCAGGAATCTGATTATGCCATTGTTATTGCAATAGGATGAACGGTATTTGCGTGAAGTTGCACATTCCAGAGAGAGTGCCGCCTCACTTCCTTAAACTTGCATTCAAAAAGACAGCCGTGATCTCTCTCTCTCTCTCTCTCTCTGTTACATTCAATCGATATCTGTGTTTACTGAGTGTCTATACATTTGATAGGTGATGCATTATACATGTCCTCACCTGCTCACAGTCACACAGTAAAAGATATAGTGATAGCAATACACTTGCAAAACAAAAACTCATTGTATTTCGATTTCTATTTATAAGGCGAATCAAATCAAATTTATTTGTCCAGCACTTTAAAAACTACTTTTTATTGACCCAAGTATTTCACATATACAAAAAAAAAAAAATACTTGGAACAAATAAAAGCAGCATAAGGTTATTACAAGGGATGAAACAACACAATGAAATGCAGTGATATTTATACGCATAACTTACAAAAATGCTGACTATAGTGCAGAGAGATGAGAGAATTATAGGCTAGTTACACATGAAAAGACAGTAGAAAGAAAAAAAGATAGCGATACATGTAGAGAAAACAAAGGGAGAGATACAGACGACTGTGCCGGAGAAAGTTGAAGAAAAGATGTGTGAGACGGAGAAAGGGAGAGAAAAATAAGGAACAAATAGCACTCTCCAGAAAAATAAAAGTGGACAATGAAAATAGAACATTTAATCCAGAATGGACAGACTCATTTCTGTTCATACTTACCACTGGGAGCACTAAACCAGTGTGTCTCATGTGTTCAGAAACCGTGGCACTTATTAAAAGTGCCAATGTGAAACACCATTATGAGACAAAACATAAAGGTCTTGAACAAACGTACCCACTCAAATCTGAAGTGAGATCACAGAAAATAGTCTCAAAGACCAATATGACCAGTCCGCCAGGATCCTGAGCCCAACAACGTGCTTGAGTGTTCCCTCATTGTTGCTTGGATTTTGGCTTAACACAAAAAGCCATTTACTGATGGAGGGGTTGTCAAAGAATGCATGAGTGCAGTAGGTGAAACACTACTTGAGGGAAAACAAAAACAAGAACTTTGTGATAAAATAAAGCAAGTACCCATGTCAAGCATCATCTGCCACAAAGAAAAGTGAAATACTACTTTTATTTAGCAAATGAGAGAACATTATACATATCGGCAGTCATACACATATGTTCAGTTCTATCTTGCGTGACAATAAATATTGTCAAAAGGTTTTTGAATTGTATTTAATTCATTTGATTTAACAGTCAGGTATTGATTACATGCAGATGTTGACACAACTACTAGGCTACTTAAATATATATCACACTAAATAGTTAGACATTATGATCTTTTGAACCTTTTGCTTCAAGAATTTTTCTCTAACTGGACCTCTTTAAATTTTAGTTAAAAACCCCTGCTGTAGAACGGATCTGCACATGATGATGTGGAGATCCTAACAAGAGAAAACAGACTCCAGTTTATAACACAGTCTATGACACAATATGTTTGAAACTTGAACAGTTATTATATACTTTAAGCACTGCTGGAGGGCAGGAAACCATTTTTAGTCCAGAACAACTTCACAACAACACATTCTGGAAAGTTTTACTATGAAATGGAGGGATGACTGAGGACCTGATGTAAACAGTTAATGTAAATACCACTCTAGCTGTACCACAAACAACAGAACAACAGTGTTGAATCCGAATAGATAAATGAATACAGTATAAACTAAATAATAAAATTTAACAAATAAAGTACAGGGTAATGGAACTTTTAGCTAAAACAATATGTCTGTGCAGATTCTCAGTCATCCAGGTCATAGTAAGCTGAAAAAAGCGTAGAAAAAAAAGCAACTGGACTATATTTCTTGGTCGAAGACATTTCACCTCTCATCCAAGAGGCTTCATCAGTTCTGACTGACTGGTGTTGAGCCGGAGATATTTATCCCCCTCGGTGGTGTTTCAGCCAAGAAGGAGAAATTACACATCCAGAACTCCCTTTAAGGCTTGTGGATACCCTAAGTGGGCCTTCACCAAAGCAAGAAAGAGGCCCAACACCAACAGGGAGAAACCAGAAACAAGAGGGGGGATAACACTGTCATCCCTTATGGTTTATCAGAGAAGTTAAAAAGGATATTTCGCAACCACAATATCCCAGTTAACTTTAAACCAGGGAACACCCTGACTGGTCCCCCCGAAGGACAAAACACCCAGACATAAACAGAGTGTTGTGGTGTATGCAATTAAGTGTAGTCAGGAGTGTAATGACTTGTATATGGGTGAAACTAAGCAGCCGCTTCACAAAATCATGACCCAACACAGGAGGGCCGTGCCCAAACATGCCCACCAGGACAATAGGCGTCGGTCGACAGGGGGAGGATTCAAAGACAGGTAACGACTCTCACCGATACTGGGCTACAACGACTCAGTCATTAAGGGACATTGTTGGCCTTCAAAGGACTGAAACGCCACCGAGGGGGATAAATATCTCCGGCTCAACACCAGTCAGTCAGAACTGATGAAGCCTCTTGGATGAGAGGTGAAACGTCTTCGACCTAGAAATTTTTTCAAAAGTTTTTTTCAGCCAATTAAAACAATAACTCTATAATAACAATACATTATGTTCTGTTCTGAAGAAACATGTGTCTCTGTCATGAGACACATGTGAGGTAGTCGGTATCGCCGAGCCAGAAGTAAGGTGAGGTAAAAGTTAATAAAAGTTATCTCGTGTTTTGTTTAGAAAAGTGAGTTGGATCTGCAGGAAGTATAACATTTCTCTGTGCGGTCCAGATAGGTCAAATTTTGATTGTGTTGCAGGTTTCGGTCTGTAGCAGCATACTGTCTTGATAGCGTTAATCCTCAGAGTGTTAGAGGAGGTGAAAGTTGAATCATAGCAGACACCTTAACAGGAAGTGTGTCAGAATAAAAGCATGTTACAGGAAGCAGAAGAGACAGAATCATGACATTAATATGGCCTCTATTGGCTATTTGTGGAAAATTTGAATAGGACAGGTGTTGGTTGCGTTTTATCAATTTTTAACCGTCCAGCTGCAGCCTTATAGCTTTGTTTCTGTGAGACACAAAACATCAGCCAGACACAATTCATGATGACTCTTCATGTCACTGACACGAGATGGCAGTCCTTCTGTGTTATGTTGAACCACGGTCACAGTCAGATGTTCTGTTCATGTCATCCTTCAGCTATTTCAACAAAGAACTTCCACCATTTCTCATCATTCAGTTGTTTCAGCAATTGATTTCAGGCATTTTCAGGGCGTTCTTTACGATGTTTCATTTCAATAGCCACACTGTAGTAGTCCTCAGGGCATAAGACTACTCTCACTCACTCACTTAGTTGTTTTACCTACTTTGTCGGGAAAATATTCACATCTTAATAAGTTCAGCATACTTTCAGCTAGAAAAGCCATTCAGGTATCAAAATGTTCAGCTCTTCAAGGACATTCCTCTGCTTGTATTTATTGCATCTTATTCATCCTTCAGCTGTTTCAGCAATTGATTTCAGGCATTTTCAGGGCGATCCTTCAGCATGTCAGCATCCACACGCATTTTCAACAGGAAATGCATTTCTCTAGTGGCACTTGGATTTTATTAATTGCATCGGTTTCCTTTTCCAAATCTTGAGGATGATTTTTTAAAATTTCTATGTATGAGTTGTAATTCATTTCCCAGAAACTAAAGTACTGGTGTAAGTGATGAACTCTCTGCATCTAACAATAACCACAATGGCCCACACTGGTCATGTCGGCTATCTCACATGTTTTAATCAGTCCACACAATCGGCTCTCATAACAACTATACGTTTAGTCCTTTATTATTTTGGTTAATGATAGGGTAGCCAAACAACTGGACACTAGATAAATATTTAAACAAAGGTTTTGATGGTCCTCCGTTATTATGAGTAAATTGACTTTGAGGTGGCTAAGCTGGTGTACAGTTTGGCAACAATAGGAGAACCCCCACCCCCCCAAATGATTTTTGAAATTTTCATTGAGAAATGGGCAGCCTGAAAGACTGTTGGCTTTTCACACGTTTTTACAAATGTCTGCCTTTATTGAATTGTTGTTAATACAAACAGTGTAAACTCAGTGTTACTTCATTATTTTCTGTGTGCTTATGCTCATTTTAAAGATGTCCTCTAGTAAGTTGTCCAAAGCTGGTGTTATTGGCCTGAAGGAGGACTACTTTGACCCTGCAAAATCTAATGACCTCAGTGACCTCAGATCAACTGGATCTTCAAGTGAAACGAAGGCCCCTGAAGATGATGCATACTGCACAGGAGATGCAACAGAAGCAGATGCAGTAACATTTCACAGCAGGCTAGACTTGTTGACAGAGCTAAGGGAAGTCCATGTTCTGGACAAACTATTCATTGAGGAAAATTTAAAGATCTGTGAGCTCTGGCACTGTGAAAACCCGAACAATAAACTCTTGGGGAAAAAGCCTTCAGATACAAATGGGCTGAGTGTGAGCAAAGAAATGGAGGTTTTTGCATTACAACTGGAAAAGGAGAAAGGGGAGGTGCAGAAGCTTGAGAAGAGTTTGGACAAAGAGGTTGTAGCGAAGAAGCACAAGGACCGAGCTAAAAAGGTTGTAACGTGTTCTATAATGGAGAAGGCTAGAACTGATAAGGAGGACCGGCCACTTTGTGATGAGCTTTTATCAGGTAGATGTAAGACGCCACAGAGAACATATCAGGACCAGAATGAGGATACATGTAAGGTTGAAAATATTCAAGCAGAATTGGGTTCTGATGTTACTGAAGAAGCTTCACCACCTGATGATGTGCCTCAGTGTCAAGATCTTACTTGCTTTAAGGCTGATCCAACTTTACATAGTGAACATATGTTAAACAGTACCTATGATTTGAAAGAGCCCAAACCAGAAATTTCTTTAACCCCTGAGATGAGGCTGCATGATGGATCACTCCTTCCTCCTGTGCCTAAGCCAAGAAAAGCTTCACTTCCTGTGAACTGCAGCCTCAGAGAACCCAAAACTCATTCACCAGAGCAGTTGAATCCAGCTCTATTTTCAACTGCTGAGGATCCTGGTTTTGTACAACTTGCTCTACAAGATGAACCACTTGATGCACTGATAGAAAACGTGACTCCAGTCAG